CCGAGTACGGCCCCCACGCCGACAGCCCTGTGCTCATGGTCTATGGCTTGGATCAGTCTAAGATGAACTGTGACCGAGTCTTCAATGTCTTCTGCTTGTACGGCAATGTGGAGAAGGTGAGTTTCTGGAAGGTGCACTGCTTTCCTTGTAGACCTGGGAGGCCCTGAACCTCGTGGCTTGTCCAATCAGTGAAGAGGGGGAAAGAGCCAGAGGTCGGTCGCCTGGCTACGAGCAAGCCGATCCAGAGAGAGTAACTCGCTTAATCAGGTGACCTGCTGTAGGCAGGGTTTGTTTAATCCTTACTGTATGTGGGTATTTTGTTCATTTATTTTTGAATTTGCAGTGTTGATAAAACTGGGACTAACACATTAAAGTTGCTAATACTTAACATTACGTGGATATTATGATTTGTGAAATTTACCCATTGTGGTTATTGTTACTATTAATATTTTTTTAATACTGGTGTCCTAGCCAATTTGCTCAGAGGTTAGTGTTAGCCCATGGACTGAAGGGTCCCGAGTTCAGTTCCAGCCATTACTTACTGGTTTGAGAGGAAAACATCGATTTGTTCCAGTTAGTTATGCATCGTTGGTTGATTCTTGTATGTGCCCCGACTGGGGATCAAAACTGCAGTCTTTTTTTTAAATATGTTGATTTTTAGAGGGAGAGGAATAGAGAGATAGAAACATCATTGATAGGCTGCCTCCTGCACACCCCTACTGCGGATCCCGAGCCCACACCTGGGGCAGGTGCTCTGACGGAATCGAACAGTGACCACTTGGTTCCTAGGTTGATGCTCAACCACTAAGCCACACCCGGCCAGACAGAACCTGCAGTGTTGGTGTATCAAGGTGACGCTCTTAACAGCTGAGCTACCTGGCCAGGGCTACTCATTGTATGAGGGTTTTCTCCAGATGATCTGGCAACACTGGGCCTCTGCCTTGCCTGTGGGACAGTTAGCTGAGACTTACTGATAGGTGACTGTCCATCTGTAACGTTTTGAATTTGCAGTATCTTTTGGCCCGTTAATAACAGTGTAGCAGCTCTTACGTGTTAAGCGGTTTTCCTATACTAGGCAGTATTAAAAGTGCTTTTGTGTTGTAAGTTGTTTGATTTTTCACAAGAATCCTTAGTGAGACATGAGGAAATGAATGCATGGAAGATGAATAACTTGCCCAGGTTCCAAGACCTTTTTGTGGAAGTAGGACTTAGAGCCATATCGCCTGGTTTCAGATCTGACACTGTTTTCCAGTGTTTTTCCTGCAACTCACATGAAGTATTTTACATCAGGACCCAATATCTAAATAAATTTGTGTGTTTATTAACAGACAAACGTTCATGAGAGTAGCTGCCTTGGTTTTTTACTATGCCTTCTGTTTTCTGCTGGTTCCTTTAAATGACCTACTTATGGGTCGTGTCCTACGGTTAGAAAAACACTGCCTAGGCTCTCCTGCCTACCTTGGGCTGAGCACTTGCTGTGGGCCAAGCATGCTTTTCTGTTTCTCCTGATTCCTCATTCATAAGTCAGGGTGTGGAAGCAGGAGTTACTTGTAACTAACTTGGAAGGGGCAGGAGAGGGGTCCCTGGCCCCTGGGCAGTGTTGCTGACCATGGTTGCTCTCCCCAAGGTGAAATTTATGAAGAGCAAGCCGGGGGCCGCCATGGTGGAGATGGCTGATGGCTATGCTGTGGACCGGGCCATTACTCACCTCAACAACAACTTCATGTTTGGGCAGAAGCTGAAAGTCTGGTAGGTGCCCAGATTCCTTGGGGTGGGATGCGTTGGCAAGGGACTGGGGAGTAAAGGGAAGGAAAAGGGGGCCCACTCTGGACAGGGCCCAGCAGTGGAGCACAGTGAGGTAGAGGTACTTATTCAGGCAGGAGTTGGGTGTGGTGGGTGTGTTCCCAGGTGCTTCTCTCGAAGCAGTGGGAGAAAGTGTGGGCCTTGCCTCAGCTGTGGCGCAATGCCCTCTGAGGCATACAGTACTGAATCTCAGGAATGAGGCCACAGTGGAGGGCTTGGGGGACAACATTAGGTTTGACAAAGGGCTCCTCTTTCTCCCTAGTGTCTCTAAGCAGCCTGCCATCATGCCTGGTCAGTCATATGGGCTAGAAGACGGGTCCTCCAGTTACAAAGACTTCAGTGAATCAAGGAACAATCGGTTCTCCACTCCGGAGCAGGCAGCCAAGAACCGCATCCAGCACCCAAGCAACGTGCTGCACTTCTTCAATGCCCCTCTGGAGGTGACCGAGGAGAACTTCTTTGAGGTGGGTGCCATGGAGTTGGTCCCTCACCACAGCCATCTAAGTGGGCCATTCATTTTAGTCTTTCAACAAATACCTATTGATTTTCTGCTCTGCCAGGACCTGGTTTGGGTGCTGGGACAGCACCAGACATCTAGCAACAGAGTAGTTTGCCAGGCTTTTAACATTTTTGGCAAGCTAGGATGGCTATACCTTTGCTGGGAAAGATTCTTCTTGTCTGGGTGTTGGAGTGGCGATCCGAGTCCAATTTCAAAACATCCCCTTTGTTAGGCAGGCCCTGGGGTGCCCAGATAACATCTGAAGGGAGGGGCCTGTGAAGGGCACAGTCAGGGAACTAGGGTGGGAAGTCTGGCTGGCAGAGTTGGACTTTGGTCCTTGTATTCAGTTCATCAAACATTTACCTAGAGCCAACATCTTCAAATAGCAGCTGAAGCACTGGGTCATGCAGGGCATGGTCTGCTTGAATTCTGCCATGTGGCACTCCTTGTGTTTCTGCATCTACTTTCTGTCTTGCAGATCTGTGATGAGCTGGGAGTGAAACGGCCATCTTCTGTGAAAGTATTCTCAGGCAAAAGTGAGTCAACTGCCCGGCCTTCTCTCTCATTCCTTGGTTGTAGATGGGTGGCTCCCTAGTTCATGCTTGGGTCAGCCTAAAACCTTTGCTTTCTGATCAGGTGAACGCAGCTCCTCTGGGCTGCTGGAGTGGGAATCCAAGAGTGATGCCCTGGAGACTTTGGGCTTCCTGAACCATTACCAGATGAAAAACCCAAGTGAGTATCTGTGTATCCTGCAGTCATCTCCCTTGTGGTCTAATGGGTTGACTGGCTTCAGGCAAGAGCTGTCTTCCTCCTATCAAGATAGAGCCCCAGAGAGTTTCATATTGTCACTGACACAGACCAATGGGACCTGATTCCCAGGAGAATATCCCGATGGTCCCCATGGGAGGGCCAGCATGGCTGCTTGTTTTCACCTGCTCTGCCCGCTGGGAGTTGCTCATGTTTGTCCTTCAGGTAGCTGGCATTCTTTGTGTCAGAGGCTGCTCAGCTAGTACCCAGAAAAGGGGCTATATTAGCCAGCAGGTAAAATTTGCCCACCCAGATCCTGGGGCAGGCCTATTGTTCTGGGCCAGCAATGGAGCTAAGAATGGGATTCTCCATGGTAGTGAAGAAGAAATGCCTTGTGCATTTTTGGCTTGTTTTTAAGTCTTTGGGCAGTGACCAGTTAAGACTCCACAATTGAACTGTAGAAAAAGATGAGTGCAAAGCGAGGGGAATGGGTGGGGAGGGGCCTCCAGAGATGTACTCAGCCTCGCCTCTTTTCTCCTTTGCAGATGGTCCATACCCTTACACCCTGAAATTGTGTTTCTCCACTGCTCAGCACGCCTCGTAACCAGGTGCCGAGAAAAAGTCCCATCTGAGCAGGAAAACATTTCTTTATGGTTTTTGTTTTTTTTTTGGTTTTTTGTTGTTTTTTTGTTTTTGTTTTTGTTTTTTTTGCAAAAGTTCCTGTATTCCTTTTTTTTCTTTTATTTTCTTTTTTTTTTTTTTTTTTTAAATGCTAGGTTAGCGGCTTAACCATAATGGAAACAATGGAAGGGGAGGGGAAGGGAATTGATATCTCCCAAGATTAACCTTCACTTTTTAAAAATTATTGTACATGTGATTTTTTTTTTTTCCTGTTCATACATTTGTGCTGCCCATGTACTCTTGGCACATTACAATAAAATTGTTTGGAAAATTAACAGCACTTTCTGGGATTCTGGGTGGTGTCTGCTTCCCTCCCACTTGGTCTTCAAGCTAGGGCTGCAAGCTATGGAGAGCTGCAGACCTAGCCCTGAGAGGAACAGGGTGAACCAGGCAGGCTGTGGGCTAGTAAAGATGCTAGCAGTTGAGGAATATTGAGGAAAAGCTGGGAGTCCTGGTGGCGCACTATTCATGAATCCTGCCTGAGCAAGCTCATTCTAGCAGGACAGTCACTTAAAAAATACATGATGTTGGGGAGAAAAAAGGAAAACTTCGAGGGAAATTTATCATGTAAAGTAAATGCCCTTTTTGTTGTTGCTAATCCTCAGCTGAAGATATTTTTTCCATTGGTGTTTTTAGACAGTGGAAGTAGGGGAAGGAGGAGGAGAGAGAAAAATGATGTGAGAAAGACACATTGACTGATTGTTTCCCATAAGCCCCCAACCAGGGCTGTGGATCGAACCTGCAACTGGGTATGAGCCCTTGACTGGGAATCAGTGCTCTGACCACTGAGCACACCAGGACACCACCTGCATTTTTAATAAGGTTGGAAAATAAAACCTCTGAACAATAAAAGTGGAACTCTTCTTCCCAGGTCCTTTATCAGTTTTTGGTGGGTCCCCCCTGTGTCACATTGGGCAGTGACTTGTGGCGTTGAACAGAGATGTATGCAAAACAAGGAAGTGAGTGGGAGGTGCATGGTCTGGAATTCCATCTGGACATTTTATTGTTTTTAAGTTTTTACTTAGTGGTTTTAGAGAAACTGATTTGTTGTTTCACTTACACATTGGTTGATTTTTGTATATGCCCTGACCTGGGATTCAACTTGCAACCTTGGTGTATCCGTATCAGGATGGTGCTCTAACCAACTGAGCTACCCAGCCAAGGCCCATTTTTTTTGTTTTTAATAAAACTATTTGTACTGTACAGTGTTGTGTTAGGATTTACTTGGGCCCAAAGGTAATTTCTAACTTTTTGCTATTGTAAACTACTACTATGCTGTATATATTGAAACAAATATCTTAGCCAATTTCACTGGTATTGTGGAGGTACATTCCTAGCAGTGGGATTGCTGGGTTAAAGGATCCATATATACAATTGCAATGTGATAGGTACTCCCCAGTTGTGGTAGGTGGGAACTTGTGTATATAGAGGTGAGGGGTGACAACCTGGAAGGAGCCTGCTTTAAGGACCATGGCTCATGATGGAAGAAGCAGCCTTTAGAGGAGCAAGTCAAAATTGCAGCACCTTGTTCATGCATGTGCTCGAGAAAACCTGCTTTGGGAATTTACTGTGAAGTTTTGAAACTCAGATTAACATTACTGAAGACATGGCAATTGTCAGATGAAACTGCTTCACGTGGGGAAGTTTTGAAATAGAACCATTGGACAAGGAGAAACTAGTTCACCTTGCAGCCACAAACTTAAAAATCTGCAATTTGGCCTGGCTGGGTGTGGCTCAGTGGTTGAGCGTCGACCTAGGATCCAGGCGATCAGGGTTCGAATCCCGGTCAGAGCACATGCCCCGGTTGCGGGCTTGATCCCCAGTCGGGGGCACGCAGAAGGCAGCTGATCAATGTCTCGTCATTGATGTTTCTATCTCCCTCTCCTTTCCTCTCTCTGAAATCAATAAAGATATATATATTTTTTTAAATCTGCAATTTGCTTTTAAGTCAATCATGGGGGTAAAAAGTAAATTTCATCATTTTGTCTCCCAGCACATTATTCCTTGTTAGCAGTTTTGAGTCTCCTAAAGATACATATATAGTGTGCACATACAGTGTTCTATAACTTTTATGCTGATAATACTAACTTCTACATCTTTACATTATTTCTCTCACATCTTGGTATTTGCATAGCGATTTGAGTTTCTATTGCATAGATAACTGAAATTCTCTTGATGGACAGTCACTGGCTCTGTCTTCCAATAGCATCTACCTTTGACTTTGTTAAGAAGACAGGTATTTCCTACAGTCTCTCTTGCCGGAAGACATTGGTTCACTTCCTGGTGAACATCTCCCTAAGGAGCAGACAAAGCATTTTACAGCACTTGTGCTCTTGGGTTAAATGGCTTTTTCCATAGAAGTTTTATTTTTTTGAGGAAATTATTTTAACATGGACTTCAGGTCCACATAAATCCCCTCTTCAACACTCCTGAAGCCTAGAGGGTGAAATAATGACTTACCCAGCCCCAGGTTCCTGTGTACAAAGGACCTCGTGGTGGTGTGGGAGTTTAAACATACAATCAGAGCTTAATGTTGGCCCATGTTTCCGTTCCTTTACGTGTGTAAACTACCAGAAAACTTTCTTTTAACACGGCACTAGTTGATCAGGGCTGCAGTTATTTTGCCATTATGTCCTTGGACACCTAAGCTGTCTCCAATTTTAACACCATTATAAAACAGCGCTGTGGTGAACTTTATGCAGGAATGTGCTCTAGGCCAGGTTCCTACTGGGCCAAAGGGTCCGTTCAGCTGACTGACCAAGGCTACTTCCTGTTGCCCTTAGTAAAGATGGCCGGAGGCAGGCGTCTCCTCGTCAGGCTTCGGCCTGATGCCCGCCTCCAACATGGCTGCCTTTGTGCCCGCCCCTTTGGCTTCCTCCTATCGGGTTACACCAGCAACTCAGTAGCAATGGCGGCGGCTATGGCGGCTTCTCGCAGACTCCGCGATCTGTTGATGTGGCGTGAGTCACCTCTTGACCTCTGGGGGTCCATTGCGCTGTCACGCTGTCTGAGAGATCATAGGACCGGGAGGCCTGTCCCAGGCCAAGCAGGGTCCGGGGCCCTTAAACTCAGGGAACGTGTGTTGCCGTCCAAGGGCTCCTCAGTTCTGTTGGCCTGTCTTACAGTCCGGTCGCTGATGGCTCACTGTCCCTAATCTGGGATCAATCCCACGATCTAGGGTCAGAAGTGGTCCTCAGACTGTGGTCGCTGATAATTGCACCCCTAATCTTAAACTCTGTATCTACCTAAACTGAGGTCTGTATCTTAAACTCTGTATCTACCTAATCTTAAACTCTGTATCTACCTAAACTGAGATGTGTGCCCTTTGCTCTTGAAGGTGCTCTGTCCCCAGTATGGGGTCATCAAAGGCTCTTCCTTCTTTTGCCTCCCCAGGATTGACAGCCCCCACGCACCTGGGTCTCAACCTTAGCCTTCGCCCAATGAGCTCCTCTGCACAAGATGAGGCCTCCAGAGAAGCCCCCAGTGAAGCCCCACACCACAACTATCAGTCCCTTCGTGTGACAGCTGCCCAGAGACACATTCTACACGTACAGCTAAACCGTCCCGAGAAGAGGAATGCCATGAACAAGGCCTTCTGGAGGTCTGGCCTGAAGATCCTGGAGGCCTGCCTGCAGGAGGAGGCAGAGACTGAGGGATGGGGCAGGGGTGGGGTGTGGGAGACAGTTGGACATGAGGGTAGGGGATTCCCACCCCAGACACAGCCCTTCTTCACTCCTTTCTCCTCCACAGCGAGATGGTGGAGTGCTTCAACAAGATAGCACAAGATGCTGACTGCCGGGCTGTGGTGATCTCTGGTGCAGGAAAGATGTTCACTTCAGGTACCAGGTGCTTTTCATCCTCACCCCCACCAGTCTCCCCTGCTTCTGGAAATAGAGCGATGCTGCTTCTGCTGCTGCTTTGTTTTTTTTGTTTTTTTATGCAGCAAAAAAAGTAAAGGTTTATTTACATCCAGAGACAGGTTAGCTAATACTCAAAAACCTGGCTCCTGGATGGATTCCAGGGGATGGGTGATTTAATGGAAAAATTGTTAATCATGATGACTCAGGGAATTAAGGTTGTGGTCAGGGTCATGGTCTCTACTGATTGGTTGAAACCAGGGTAGGGGTTAGGTGATCAGAGCATCTTGTCCTGATGTCAGCCATGGTGTCCGTGGGCCTCTTTTCTGGGCCTAGAGCTGAAACACAACTAGGCCTAGATGTTATCTCTAGTTTGACGGGAACTCTGTCTCTGTGGTCAGTAGACCCGAGGCTTTGTTCCTAGGATTATTTGATGCTGATCAGGACCTCACTGTCCTGAGAGCTTAATGATTAAGGAAGTTGTCCTGCAAGGAAGAAGGCAGGTGCTGGATAAGGCCAGTTTGAATCAAAAGGAAAGAAAATAGAAAAGATCATATTAAAGAAATGAAGTTTCTATGTGGTTACCATCCCCCTTTTCTTTTGATCATTCCTCAGTCTTGAGGAATATAGGGCAGCTGGGTCTGGGTTCTATTAAGAGGGAGAATTAACTCATAAGATGGAGTCATATTTGTCTGCCTATTGTGCTCTCTTATTTGGATCTTGCAATCTCACATTCCCACCTCTTCCTCAATGGTCCCTGAGCCTTAGAGGAGGCACTGTAGTGTTCAGTTTGCAAGCAAGAACCACAGCCATGGTAGATTAAGTAGTAGGCCTGGACACCTGTATTCTAAGTAATAATCAGAGCAAACCACACATTAGGCTCTGAGTCTTTAAGACTGCCGCTAGAGAAGACCTTCAGATGAAAGGTTCAGAGCTTCATTTTTGCTGGAATGAAGTCAGGCAGTGACAATCGGACAGATCCTCCTGGCCCACAGGCTGAACATCCTTGATGAACATCCTGACACCAGCTCAAGCAAGCTTTCAGTGTAGCTTACACAGTATCAGTCACTAGAACCATCTAAGCATGAGCTGTTGTGATAACTTACCTGAGATTTACATTATGTTGTCTGACTGGGGTTTACAGTTGGAAGGCTCAGAAAAAACAGTTTTAATTCTCTAATTCCAAGGCAAAGGATGGCAGAAAAAAAAACTACTTCAGAGGGCTGCAACCAAACACTTTTATTAGAAAAATTCAGGATCCAGTCCAGCCCACTGGTGAAAAATTAGATTAAAAAAAAAATTTTTTTTTTAATCCTCACCTGAGGATATATTTTCCATTGATTTTTTTTTTTTTTTTTAGAGAGGGGAAAGGGGGG